AAGACATCCAGGGTTAATTTTATGGGAGGTAAATTAGACCTCAATAAAAGCTTTTTAAAAGATTTTTTAAAGACACTTTAAGAAGACATCCAGGGGCTGGAGATGTGGCTCAAGCGGTAGCACGCTCGCCTGGCATGCGTGCGGCCCGGGTTCGATCCTCAGCACCACATACAAACAAAGATGTTGTGTCCGCCGAAAACTAAAAAATAAATATTAAAAATATAAAAAAAAAGAAGACATCCAAATAAGCTACAAAAACAATACACTGGGAGACTGCAGCACCTAATTTTTCCATTTTCTTCTTCAGATGCAATCTCAAATCTGAAAGTCAAGTCTTCCTACATTTGCACACTTTGTTCAGTGAACAAAAAAAACCCTACCTAAGTGAAACCAACTATCTGAAATTCAACTTGATGAAAAAAAATGCCTCTGAAATATACAACACCTTTATTTTAGCATCGACTCTGAACTAAAAAATSTGAATTTTTGATGCATCGCATAAAAACTAGACATACTCAGAGTTTAAGCAAATTGCCAACTTTCCAGAAAAGATAAACAGTAATTCAGATTTGCTCTGATGCAAATATAAATGTTKACCTGCCTCAAAGGAACAAAATCTTGTAAGCCTAGTGTTCCCAAGTGAAAGAAATATATATTTTTTTTAATTCAGAATTTTGTTTTAGAATCAATTTTAACCTAGCTAGGGTATACAGAGTTGATCCTTTATACTAAACAACAAATACTCTGCTCTTAACTAGAACATACTGAAAACACAGCATTATAACCAGACAAAAGTTGGGAGCTGAGAAAAATCACAGTACACAATAAAAATAACTACTCTCAAGAAGCTCCTGAAAATGCCTCAAGAGTTCCAATGTTGCAAACTCCTTAGTCATTTAGTCTTCCTATAACTATTTACCGAACATATACCATTTGCCAGGCAGGGTGCAAGGTACCAGGATGCCACAGTGAGGTATAAACAGAGCAGGTCCCTGGTTGCAGGAAGCTTGTTCTCTACAGCCTGATAAACCTTTCTGACTTCAACTTCAAGAACCTGCTAAAAATTCAGTCTTGTCCCCTACATTGAGGAGCCAGGGCTCGTGGGCCTGCGGTGGAGCATGCAAGCTGTATTTTTACAAAGTGCTCCCAATTATTCCTCCACTGGACCATCCCACCCATCCTGCAGGAGCCCCACATTCAAAGTCCGCTCAGCAGCCTTCACCTTGACAGGCACCCCAAACACACCCCGAGGCCAAGGTGGACGGAAGGCTTTCTGGTATCACTCTGGTGAGCCACCAGCAGCTTGTTGCCCTCCTGGGTCGGASAGCTCACTCCCTCCCAACCTCACCTGAGGCTGGCAGCACCTGAGCCTCCCCAKCGGCAGACACCTGTCTCCAGGAGGATGCAGTCTGCCATTTAGGTGGACCAAGGTCCCAAGGTTCCGCCCCCCGGGGAGGGGTCAAGGAGGCGGCGCGCGGGAGTTAAGCGCCGACTGCATACCACCGGCCCCGCTCCYGCACACACTCACACACTCCCGCGGAAACTGAGGCAGGCGGCGGACCGGGTCCCGCTGCACSGCGGCTCGCGAAGGGGCTGGAACCCCGACGACGAGGTGGCTTCCGCCTCGCGGGCACTCGTCAGCCGCGGAGGCCCGGCCCGGCTTGCACCGACGGAGTTTCACAAAGAAAGTCTCCCGGCCCGCGCCCCTCACGCACTCACCGGCGCTGGCGCCGGCGGAGACTCGGGCTCCCGCCGCCTGCGGCTCCGGGCCGGGGTCGACGCTGGGGTCGGTTCGGACGCTGGGGGCAGCGGCTGCTCCATCCCCGCGGGACCCGGGCCGCGTCCGCCTCGAGCTAACGGTCCCGCCAGCTAGGCGCGCGCACCGCTCCCGCGCGCCATGTTCCCGCCGTGCCGCGCGCCGCCGAGGCAACCCACAACGCCCCCCCCCCCCGGACAGCGCACGCGCGCCCCCGCGGCTTCCTCGCACACACCGCGCACGCGCGCGCTCGCCGCGCCCCCTCCCGCGCGCCCCGCCTGGAGCCTGGAGGAGCTGGTCGCTGTTCCCGGCGTCGCGTTTACCCCCGCCGTGCCTGTCCGGCCCAGGAGGGAGAGCGCGCCGTTCCCCGCTCTGCGCCGCCGCCTGCCGCACTGCGGACCACCCCGGCCAAGCCCATTTCTCCACTGCCTCCAGTGTGTCACCCGCATCGCGGGGCCTGGGGCGAGGGTCCGCCCAGGAAGTGCCAGACGAAGGACGCCCTTCGGTTGCTGAGACCCCATTCCTGGAGGTGGGCAGGCACGTGCGCGAATGGAGGTGGCACAATGAACTCCAGTATCCTGGGGAGAGCCAGACTCTGGAAACCTGAGTTCAAGTCCGCCTCTTCACTGACCTCGGACATCAGGGTCAAAATCCAGCACCGCCCCAAGTGCTTGAGAGATGGGCTCTCCTTAAAGGGTTCAAGTGCCACCTCCATCTCCCAAACTGGGAGACTGGGCATGTCACTTGACCAACCCAGAGAACCTCGATTTCTACGTGTGCAGCGGATTTCCCAGGTTGACAAGGGCTTTCGGGAGGCATCCACATCCCTCAGCACGCTGCCTGGCACACAAGCAGCCTGCCAAGGCTCCGTATTGTAGCTCCTGCCTTATCCGTCCAAGACTCCTAAAAGTTTAATGAAAGGGGTTCTGTCCCAAACTCTGCGGTATAATTAGCTGGGAGTTCACCCAACCATGGGGCTGCAAGAGACTCTTACTTCCCACGTCTTCACTTTCCACTCTGCCTCAAAACCCTAAAGCTGGCACAAAACAATAGCAGAGAACATTTTCCCTACTAGAAAAAGAAGTTTTTTCAAGAGTCCCTTGGAATTTGTAAATGGTTGTGCTTATTTCTCTTGGCATTTTTCAGACACAAGTGACACAAACAACCTGGAGGGGGGAAAAAAGAGAAATTTACCTGCTMCCATAATTGCAAAATTCTGGCTGGAGCCTCACTTCTGGCATAGCGGAATCCAGTACCTCAAACCAAACTCAGCCTCTCTGACCTGTTTCAGGTTTCATTTGCTCTCTAATAACTTCATTTCCATACAGTTTCTTCCACTTAAGTAGCTTCATCTACCAAGAAAGCAGAGGCTGTTTCCCAGTACAAGTCGAGTATCCGTAATTCTAAATGCTCAGAAGTGTCTCAGATCTTGGATTTTGGAATATTTGTGTACGTATAATGAGATATATTGGGGCTAGGACCCAAACCTAAATATGAAATTTGCTTATGCCTCATACATACATTAAACATAGAACTGAAGTTGACATTATACAATATTTTTAGTAATATTGTACATTCATGTGTGGAATTTTTCACAATCCATCATATCACTGCTCAAAAAGTTTTGGATTTTGAAGCATTTTGAATTTTCAGACTAGGGTTGACTCATCATTGGACCCATTTGGGCTACATGCCCTTCCTGAGCCAATCCATATTGGCTAGAGCTGTATGTATGGGAAGGGATTGAAGTCAGACCCTCCAGAAGAATATAAACAGGAAGGGTAATTGGGAAAARGGATACTTCCACCTGAAAAATTGGAATGCAATTACCAGAAGAGGCATGGGGCACAGGGCCAGCACAAACAAGAGATATCCAGGACACCATCAAATAGGCATACAGTAGGTCCACCATAGAGCCAACAGCCTGTTCTACAAAAGGGAGTGGCAGTTACTTCCTTCCGCCAATGAGAAATGACTCTCACCGCCAATGAGAAATGACTCTCACCGCCAACCCCAGGCCCAGCATTTGCCAAGTCTGCTTAGTCAAAGGCAACCCAATGACCCCACAAGTGCCCAAGCAAAAACTGAAAGATGATGATGCTTTCAAGAACTGACTACTTACATGGGTATCCTACCTCATGATGGAAGATAACCCTTACCACATACCAGGCACTTTATGGACCTTATTCCACTGAATCCTCACAAACAGCATCAGAGATGGTTATTGTCACTGAACCCATTTTATAGATAGGAAGCCAAAGCTTATCAAGAAACTTAACCAAAATTCCAGCAAGTAACTTACCCAAAAGCCAATGTTGGATAAGTACAATAATGTGCCCATCATGAATGTTGTCATCCCAGCACCTTTTGCTCATATTTCAAAGTCCTATACCCACCTCCAGCTAGATGACCAGCTATCAGTTCCTTAGCAGAAGGAACTTCTAGGACCTCTTCAGCTTCCACAGTTGGGAAGCAAACACTCATTTTCTGTCTCCCCACCTCACCTTGAAGCCCCCATGCCATGATTTCATGTAATAAAGGAAAGAATTCTCCTAAAAGGAAATTACAGTGAGGCTAGGAAGAGAAAATCAGTGTCAAGTGGCCCTCATCAGCAGTTACTGTCTCCCCTTTAGTAAATGTATTAGTCTCCTATGGCTGCTGTAACAAGTTATCACAAACTKCGAAGCTCAAAACAAGACAAAATTACTTATAGTTCTATAGGTTGGAAGCCTGAAATCGGTTTCAGTTGGTTCAAGTCAAGTTGTAAAGGACCGGTTCCTTAAAAGAGCACTGAAGGGAGAATCCATTGGCTTCCTTTTTCAGTTTCCATGGTTGTTTATAGTCTTTGGACCCCTCCTTCCATTTTCAAAGCACATCAATCCAATCTATGTTCAGTTATCACATCATCTCATCTGATTCTGGCTTCTCTTGGGTCCCTCTTAAAAGGATCCTTGTGATGACATTGAGCCCACAGGATAAGACAGGATAATCTCCCCACCTCAAGATCCTTAATCATGTCCATGAAGTCCTTTTTGCAATGTAAAGTAACATTTACAGATTCTGGGGATTAGAATGAGGACACCTGTTGAGGGTCATTATTTAGCCTATCATGGCAGGTATCATCAGAGCGAGAGCCACAGTGTGCCCTGGAAACAAGGAAGGGCTGGCTAACTGTGCCCAAGAGGGAAAATGCCCTAAGAAACCTCAGCCTCCACATTATTCAAATGAGCTAAAACCCAGCTAATTTGGCAATCCCAACCTCATTTCAATATTCAAACCACCTAAATCCCATCAGCCCCCTGCACCAGGCTAGCCAAACCTCAGAATACTGGCATACCTTTCTAATAGAAATTGCCAACCCCACTCCCATCCCTAGTGCCAGGAGCAACAGCTGTGTGCCCTTGACACTGTCCTAGCTGGTAAGTAGCATTCGAACCATGGTATGGCCAGTGAATTACAATATGATCTAGTGTCAACCAGGCAAAATTGAAAAAGCAGCAGAGGAGCTAGGGCTGGGGCTCAGTGGTCAAGTGCTTGCCTCACATGGGTGAAGCACTGGGTTCGATCCTCAGCACCATATAAAAACAAATAAATAAAGATACTCTGTGTTCATCCACAACTAAATAAATATTTTTTTAAAAAAATATGGGCTGGGGATGTGGCTCAAGCGGTAGCGCGCTTGCCTTGCATGCGTGCGGCCCAGGTTCGATCCTCAGCACCGCATACAAAGATGTTGTGTCCGCCCAGAACTAAAAAATAAATATTAAAAAATTCTCTCTCTCTCTAAAAAAACAATAAATAAATAAATAAATAAATAAATAAATAAAAAGCAGGGCTGGGGATGTGGCTCAAGTGGCAACACGCTGGCCTGGCATGCGCGGGGTGCTGGGTTCGATCCTCAGCACCACACATAAAAAAATAATAATGATGTTGTGTCCACCGAAAACTGAAAAATAAATATTAAAAAATTCTCTCTCTTCTCTTTCTCTTAAAAAAAAAGAAAGAAAGAAAAAGCAGAATAAGAGAGGAAGCAGGCATTAGAAATGCCTGCATTCCTGATGGCTCCAGATCCAGGCATCTGTGACCTCGATACACATCCCCTTCATGAAATGATGTGAGTGGTCTGTTTTCTGCTAAAGATGTTCCAACTTCTACAGATCATAGGGCTGTCCCTGAAGCCAGCCTGGAGGGACTGATCGCACTTGATGGTAAACAAGGATATATGCTCCTTTGGGCAGTTCACTGAACATGCTGACATTTGAGTTTAGACATCAGTTGCTTGTGCATTTTGTCAGCAAGTCACCATCCATGAGTCTGAACATGAAACTAGGAAGACAGACATTAGTTCTGGATTCAGAAAAACCTAGGTTGGATCCCAGCTCTGCCACTTATCAGCTGTGTGGTTTTGGAAAAGTTACCTTACTTCTCTAAGCCTGGATTCCTTACCTGTAACATGAGGGTGGCTGGGTGACTTAGCTTATAGGATCACTGTGAGGACAAGATCAGCCAAGAATAGGGCTTTTTGCACAGGRCCTTCCTAATCATTACTGGGTCAATGTAACATGCCAACATGCCTAAACTCCACTTCCAAAATAAGTCATCCCTAATTCATTTGGGAGAAAAGTTTGACATGCGTTAACATGGGACAAMCTTCCTCTTTCTCTTCCCCTTTTGCTGTGAATATTTGCTGCAGAAATATCAATGAGTATGGTTATGGGACCCCCTTGGGGTATTACACATAATATACAAGAAGTGAATCCGCTTCCTAACCTCGGAAAAATTTGAATTTCACAACTTATCTAGTCCCAAGGTTTCATACTGTGAAGACATGTATCTTTAACACAAAGGATGAGAATTTAAAACTGGCACATGATACATACATCAATGTACCTACCATCTCTTGAAATCTCTGAATGTGAGTCACTACAAATGCCACCCCCAACCTCCCTGTGCCCCTTTCCCTGTAACTTTCTAAGGGGCCTTTAGAATTTGTATTTAGCTGTCCCTGGCTGAAACCAGGTGACATCCAGAGAAACCGCCTGGTAACAACCCAAGTAGGGCTCTGGATGAAAAAGCACACAATAACTTTTTTTTTCATTTTATTTCTTTCTTTATTTTGGTGTTGGGAATCAAACGCAGGGCCTTACATTTGCAATGTAAGAATCCAGTCACTAAACCATATCCCACCCCTAACATTTTTTTTCTTTTAACATTTTTTTAGTTGTAGATAGACACAATATCTTTATTTATTTTTATGTGGTGCTGAGGATCGAACCCAGGGCCTCACACGTGCACAGCAGGCGCCCTACCACTGAGCCCCAGCCCCAGCCCGCCCCCTAACTTTTTTTTTAAGAAACAAATTTTTTTTTTTTAAATAAAAGGCATTCAACCAAAAAGTTGGTTGAAGCATAAGCACAAAGCCCACATTCCATCAGGTTTTTAATTGAATTAACAGTGATTGTGGAAAAGCAATTATTCCCATAATTAAAATACAAATGATTAAAAATAAAAAGATTTAAAGAAAAGGAAGATGACAGCAGAGTGAAAGAAGTACATTTCTTCAGGTTCAGTCCAGTGTTCACAGCATAGCCATACACACAGCCCGGCGCTTTGAGGACTCTGTGTCTTCGGCTTCCCCTTCCAGAGGCCGCTTTTGACTAGTGGAAGGCTGCAAATAAAGGAAAAGGGAGAATGTTTAGAAGAAAATCACCAGCTTCTATTAAAGTTCCCCATTAGCTATAGTAAACCAGGGTCAATTCATGTGAAGCATGGTACCAAGAATAACTGGTGGTCACTGAATCCCCGCTGGACTCCAATACACTTATCTAACATTTCTCTTCTTGCGGCTTCCAACCACTTAATGATGTAAGGACAGTTCAACTGCAATTTTGTTTTTATAAGAAATCTTGCCAGGTGTGGTGGAGTGCACCTGTAAACCCAGAAGCTCAGGAGGCTGAGGCTGAAGAAGGAGGATCAGTTGCCTTGGCAACTCAGAGAGACTCTGTCTCTAAATAAAATGTATTTTTTAAAAAAGGTGATGTGGTCCAGTGGTTGAGTGCCCCTGGGTTCAATTCCCATTACAGAAAGAAAGAAAGAAAGAAAGGAAGGAAGGAAGGAAGGAAGGAAGGAAGGAAGGAAGGAGGGAAGGAAGGAAGGAAGGAGGGAGGGAGGGAGGGAGGGAGGGAGGGGGAGAGAGAGAGAGAGAGAAAGAGAGAGAGAGAGAAAGAAAGAAAGAAAGAAAGAAAGAAAGAAAGAAAGAAAGAAAGAAAGAAAGAAAGAAAGAAAGAAAGAAATTTTTAAGGGTATTGTATTCTTTAAGATGTTTATTTATTTATTTTTATGTGGTCTGATGATCGAACCCAGTGCCTCACACATGCTAGGAAAGTGCTCTACCACTGAGCCACAACCCCAGGAACACCCACCATCCTTTTTGTTGATACTGGGGATTGAACCCAGAGACACTTAACCACCGAACACTTTTTGTATTTTATTTAGAGACAGAGCGTCACTAAGTTGCTGAGGCTGACTTTGAACTTCAATCCTCCTGCTTCAGACTCCCGAACCACTGGGATTTACAGATGTGGACCACTATACTCAGTTAATTTTTTTTTCAACTACAATTTTTATATTTTACAATGATGCATAAGCAAATGCAAACAGTAGAAAGTAAACTTTGAATCTAAATCTAGATATCTTTTTTTTTTTTAGTTGTAGGTGGATACAATACCTTTATTTTATTTATTTTTATGTGGCACTGAGGATTGAATTCAGTGCCTCACACATGCCAGGCAAGTGCTCTGCCACAGGGCCACCACAACCCCAGGTGCAGACTCTGAACATCTTTTTGTAGGCTAGCAATATTCTCTCCTGATGTGAGGCAACTGTAGCTCCTGGTCAGCAAGATCACAAGCGGAATACTGTACACTGGTGTGCAACTGTTGCCAAGCTCAGTAGATTTGGAGTATTAAATGCATTTCAGTTTAAAATGTTTTCAACTTAAGATAGGGTTACTAGGGTGTAATTCCATCATTAGAATATAGGAGCTGGGCTTACAGCTTAGTGGTAAAGTGTGTGCTTAGCTTACGCTAAGGCCCTGCATTTACTCCCTAGCACCAAAAGAGAGAGCTACTTGGGAGGCTAAAGCAGAAAAGACAGACAGCTTGAGGCCTTCAGGATAACTTAGTATGACTCTGTCTCAAAATAAAATAAAAAGGGCTAGGGGGTACAGCTCAGTGGTAGAGTATTTGCTTAGCATGCGTGGGGTCCTGGGTTCAATGGTCGATATCACAAAAAGTGAGAAAGACTAAAACCTCTCACTTAGAGCCCCAACTTTAACTCTTTTATGGAAAAGGCAATCTTTTCTGCCTTGCTTGCTTCCCCATTTATAAAACTGGGAGGGAGAGTGGGAAAAAAGCAGAACTATTGCAGTGCTTGCAATAGTGCAACCAGTGGTGCATGTCTATAATCCCAGCGGCTCGGGAGGCTGAGGCAGGAGGATCACGAATTTAAAGCCAGCCTCAGCAAAAAAAAAAAAAAAAAAAAAAAAAAAAAGTAAGGTGCTAAGCAACTCAGTGAGACCCTGTCTCTAATGTCTCTAAATAAAATACAAAATAGGGCTAGGGGTGTGGCTCAGTGGACAAGTGCCCCTGAGTACCTTAAAAAAAAAAAAAAAGGCAGAACTATCATTAACCAAAAGAAAGCTGGACAGGAATAAAGTGATATTTATTTATACTTACAAAGAATTTTAGAAGAATAAAATTATAACCAAGAAATCATCATTTGTCCAAATTTTAAGTTTTCCAACGAATTTAAAATCGAGCCTCTAACAGATTGTTTAGTCTCACCCTGCAGGAGAACTTTCAAGTGACAGGCCCTACCTGTGCTTCACTAACATATTAAGCAATCTTATAAGGACGCTAGAGCAGATCAAGTTGAAACKTAACACCTACTACATAGATCTTTAAGAATGTGAAGCTACTGTCACCCTCAAGACTCTTCAGACCTGGGACTGGGGTTGTGGCTCACTGGTAGATCATTTGCCTTGCAGGCGTGAGGCACTGGGTGTGAATCTCAGCACCACATAAAAATAAATGAAGATACTGTGTCCATCTACAACTAAAGAGAAAATATTTAAAAAATAAATAAAAGAGAACCTTTAGACTCATTAGGCTCACTCATCAGCTCTTTTTTTTTTTTTTTTAAATATTTATTTTTTAGTTCTCGGCGGACACAACATCTTTGTTGGTATGCGGTGCTGAGGATCGAACCCTGGCCGCACGCATGCCAGGCGAGCGCGCTACCGCTTGAGCCACATCCCCAGCCCTCACTCATCAGCTCTTTAAACCTAGTCTACATTTATTAATCATTAGTAGGGATACCTGGGTTGGGATTTGGGATAGAGCGATTGATTTATTTTCCTCGGCCAGTAGCTCCTGAAACTTTCTCTTCATATCCTCATCCTGTGAAGAAATGAAAAACATAAGTAGGCTGTGTCTGGGGAAAAGAAAGCTCCTTTAGAAGGACAGGGCAAGGCACCCCTGCAAGGATGGCAATTGTCTGCTAAGAATCAGCCCCTTGCTCAAGTTCCCGAAGTGAAGGGCCCATGGGTGCTCACCTCTGCCTTCTGAGTAGTCTCATGAGCAGTCACAGCTCAGTCAACACTGACTGAATCAAACCCATGGTCCTAAGAGCTCAGYGGGTAAGAGAAACACAGACTCCAGATAACCAGCAGATCCTGAGAGCCAAAGGCTGGGGCTGACTCCATGCAGCTCCCTGAATCCTTCCACATCGCCCCCTTGCCCTGCCATCAGCAAGGCCATTTACCCACATACCAACCGAACAACAGACTCAGCACCTAAGAAAATTACCCAGCAGGTGCTGTACAAAGTGCCACATGGTCTTGAAGCCCACAGTATCCCAAGCTCAGCTCTAATGAGAAAGGACAACAATGAACACGACATAGCATTACAGGTGCTTCATGCTACAGGAGGAAAAGGTGGGGCAGAGGAGGAGTGGGCAAAGAGAACTGCCCAGATGTGTGAGGTGTGAGGGCAGCTCTACCTCTCCAGATGCTAAGTTCTACAGGGTTCAAGGATTTGCATTCGAGAGTCTTGATGGGTGGCCTGGTCCGGTTCTCCCCATCTTCGAAAATGCAAAACATGTCTAAGAATGTGGACTAAGCTCAGCCACTCACCAGTGAAGTGTGCAGTATACAGACCTCAAGCAGTTCGATTCCAAAGCCCCACATACTTTACCAACCAACCCACCCTCTCCCTACTCTTCCCCATAAGCCACCGGAGGGAGAGGACGACGGGGTCTCCACCGCTCAGCAGCTGCATGATGCTAGAGGACTACCAACTGCTTCATCTCTTCTCTATCTAGCAGCTAGAACCACCTGCTTCCATCACTCCGCCTAGTCCCTCAGCCTATCTTGGTAGGGTCATGCTCACCTGGATTCCCCTCTAGACTCTCCCATGGCTAGAGGATGTCACCTCTCACGTACTGTCACTTGCCAAAGCCCATCCATTCTTTCCCCCCATACTTGTTCACACCACAGCTCCCCCAGGAATGCCCTCCTTACCTCCCTGCAACCCACATAGCCCACCTTCCTTGTTCCAATCAGTGAACAAATTCTTCCATGAGCATCCCCTAGATACCAGTCACTCTCACAGGCACAGGGGCCTTCCTGGCAGAGGGACCCAGTAAACATTTGAAAATGCTGACACTCACCCCCCCACACACACACACACTGTTGCCAGATCATGCAGGCTTCAGACCTGTTCACACCATATGAAACCTGTTCACACCAGAGCCCTGTGGGCAGTGGCCCTGCCTCCTCCTGGTTAGCACTGTACTCTACACCTACCCCCACCCCCACCCCCACCCCGCCAATAGATACATCACACCACACTGTACCACTGTAGTCAGCAACTGCGATGCAGACGTCAGCTCCCTAGGCAAGGACTTATCTTATTCCTCTTTATATCCATGCTGCCTAAGAGTATTTGACACAAGAGCTCATTGACTATTCTGAAGGAATAAATGCATGAACCAATGAAATTACAATGGAATAATGGGAGGATTGTGTGTCTCAGCACTACCGTGAGAGGGCGGAGCCTCAGAGAGGTGGTGCCTAGTGGGAGGAGGTTAGGTCATTGGGGGCATTCCCCAAAGAAGACTGTGGAAATCCAGTTTCTTCCTCTTCCTCTCTCATATTTTTCACACTAGCCATGAGACAAACAGGTTACCACCACACACTCCTGCTATGATATGCTGCCTCACCACATGCTCAAAGCAATGGGGCCCCTTTGGTCATGGACTAAAATCACCAAAACCGTGAGCCAAAATGGACTTTTCCTCTTTKTAAGTCAATTTATCTCAAGTATGTCACAGTAAGAGGCAGCTAACACAAAGCCCTTCTCCTTTAGACCTTCAGTGACCCAAGTCTATTAAGTATATTTACAAGTCATCAATTAGCAATTACATAAAAAAGAACCTCATTGTTGAGGCAAACTGTTAAGTGTTTTTTTATTATTTTATTTTGTTTAGTTTTGTTTTTTGCAATGCTGGGGATTGAAACTAATACTTCACTTATGCYAAGCAAGGGCTCTACATCCTCAGCCCCCTGGTGGCAGAGTTTATCTGTAAATGTCCTTCCTTTGAGATGTCCACAACCTATTCAAAAGTATTAAATTATCCCTGGAAGTCAAGCAGGAAGGAATCCTCTCAGGCACTCAACATGAGGCAGGAAGAGGACGTGAGGGGGGCTGGGGCTGGGGCTCAGTGGCAGAGCGCTTGCCCAGCATGTGTGAGGCACTGGTTTGATCCTCAGCACCACATAAAAAATAAATTAATAAACAAAGATATTGTATCCCTCTACAACTAAAAATGTATTAAACAAGAAGGAGAAATGAGAGATGCTCCCCAAACCAGACACTGCTAATGMCAACACCGAGACCACAATTCACATTCCCAGTGTTCAGCCCAGTGCCAAACCCATAAAATCATTTGGCTTCTGAAAAACACTGAACTTTCCCAAAATAAAAACCTAACCATCACTAACTGATGTTTTAGATAACCCATCTGCAGCCTTGTCCTCTCCACCTTTGGCTGCAAAAACAAAATGTGGATAAAAGAGTATTCATAGGAGACCCCTATGGCAGAGTTGAACTTCACCTTCTTAGTTGTAAGTTTTCTTTTGAGACAAAAAGTACAAGAAAAATAGGCTGTGCTGCCTCATAAATTTCAGGCAGATGCAAATCCTGTCCCTAGGACTTGCTGGCCAGCTCTATTTTTTTCCCAAGCCCAACACAGCTCCTCCAACCTCTCCACATGGGGACCCCAAGAGTTTCCTTACTAGGATACATGAAAAGAGCCAAGAGGCGTGTTTCTCTTTTTTATCAAAATCAAATCCCTACATCCAAAGGCACCCTTTGTTTCCAAACTCCTTTTCTCCAAGGTCCTGCTGTCTCAAATCTGTGTGGTCTATTAAATGCTAAATCATCTGACAGATTTCTTCTGGGGAGATTGCTGTTTCCATGGCAACATCCCAAACACATATATCTGGGCTTTTTTTTCCCTCCATTAAGGATTTGTTGTTCTCAACCTGAGCTGGTCTGAGCAAAACTGTTAGGTGTAGAGGGTTGGAAAACAGAATGGGGAACAGCCCTCCCCTGAGTCCCAGAAATATAGAGCTGAGGCCAGACTGCCCAAGGAGTTTGTGGACCAGTAATCCCCAAGAGTAACAGTGTCTTGCTCAAACTACCTGATTAGTTAAGTGCCTAATCCCCACAGAAAACAGATCAAAAGAAAATTAATAGAAAGAGGCATGACTGTGCTGAATGACAACACAGGAAATGGAAGATCAGACATCCATCAAAAACCTGCCTGGCTGGGCACAGTGGTGCAAACCTGTCATCCCAGCAGCTAGGGAGGCTGAGGCAGGAGGATCGCAAGTTCAAAGCCAAACCCAGCAAAAAGCAAGGTGCTAAACAGCAAACAGGGCTGGGGATGTGGCTCAGTGGTCAAGTGCACCTGAGTTCAATCCCCGGTACAAAAAGAAAAAAAAAAAAACCTCCCCGATGCTGTAGCTAATTCTAATGCCAAACATGAATCTGACAAATCCACTAAAGACTTCCAACTCTGGCAACTCTGAATGAGGTCCATGCAAGATCTAATGGCAGCCACGGTTCCCAGCAAGAACAGAGAAGTAATGCAGGCTTGAAAGACGCAGGTGTCAGCCTGCACTACAGCATGCCTACTCACCAGGAATAAGAAGTGAGACCCTTCACACCCAATCACATGGAACTGAGAAATGGCTGGATTCTTCCCAGGGAGGCTGCCATCCTCCAGCTCCTCCAAGTTCCCTTATTTAAGGTGGAAAAATGGCTGGAATGAAGCCCAGCCTAGCTCACCTGTTGAGTGAACCTACAGTTCAACCTAAAACAGACCCAACATTGCAAAGGTTATGTTTCCATCCTCTTCCTCACTTAGCTCAGGGCTCCCTGTGCATTTCATGCTAGTGGGTACTGCCCCACACCCACCTGAAGCCACGGGTGACTTAAGGCTTCTTCTGTCGTAAACCGTGCCTTTGGATCCACAACCAACAACTTCTTGACGAGATCCAGAGCTAAGGTAACAAGAGAATTGGCAAACTACAGTGAAAAGGATGACAATCAGCAATATTAGGTATGCAGAATGACAGGCCACCAACCAGAAAGAGATCATTATGGAGTCAGCAGACAGTGGGCAGGACCCCAAGTCCTCCTCCCTGTGTGCAGAGGACTCTAAACACCAGGAATGATGGGACACTGAGCTTCTTAGCTCCCTGCTCCCTCTCTTGTTGCTGGACTCAAACTAACTAAAACTGACCTTCTACCCAGTTCTGAGATATTTAAAATGCTACAGCCAACTCTCCCTGACACCCCAGGACTGGTAATGAGAGTCCCTCAACCAAAGAGGGGCTCCGTGAAAATCTGGTTTGTCAGAAATAAAGCCTGACTACTCCAGCAAGCAATGAAGGCTGGCTTGTATACTGCAATAATATTACTCCTTAAAGAGCACCCATGCTTAGCATAATCACCTATGTTACACTACTGGATATTTAGTTTTAAGTTTCCACTTTTTCTTCTGGAAATTATAAGGTTACATTTTTAAATTATAAAATACAAAAAAAGTAAGGGGCTGGGGTGGTGGCTCAGGGGTAGAGCACTTGCCTAGCATGTGTGAGGCACTGGATTCGATTCTCAGCACCACATACAAATAAATGGATAAAATAAAGGTCCATCAACAACTAAAAAATTAAAAACAACAACAACAAAGTAACTGACATCGAGCTTTTTATATGGGGCTAACTCAAAGGAAAGTTTGTAACTAAAAAGTTACTTATTCTTTAGCACACTAAAATAGGTACCAGTCACTTGTGTACATTACACTTAGCACTCAGAAAAACCATTTAAGGTGAGGACTATCAGAGGAGGATCTTTACAAATAAAGAAAATAGAAACTCAGAGAAGTTCAATAACTTGCTGAAGGTCACACAGCTAGGAAACAGTAGACTAGGAACTTGAGCTCAATGTGCTGAAAGAACAATTTGATCATTTGTCCTAATTTTCAAATTCTGTAAAAACTAATCAAAACTAGAACAGACGGATAGGAGAAAACACCACAGAGTTTGAAAAGACACTCCCACCAAGAGCATACCCACATCATAGTAAACCACATATTCTTAACCCTTTTTGTATCCATACCCTTCTCTGAAACATCTGCCCAGACTTCAGGAATGAAGTTGTATTTTCCACTGGTGATCTGATCCTTCAGTGACACTTGAGTCTTATGCTCAGAGAAAGGTGGATACCCACTAAGGCTTTATATTGGTAGAGAGAAAAAGGGAAAGAAATCAAATGGCATTCTCAGAGGCATTCAGATATACAGATTTCTTGGTTTCAGCATCATGAAAAAGCAGGTTTTTCTTTAAATCAGTGGTCGAAAAGTGACCTAAATGAAACATGACCTTGCTACCTGAATATGGTTATGCTTTCATCTAATTACCTCCAACCAGATTGTGTAGCAATGAAAACTTTTCTTACCAGATAAAAAGAATAACTCCTAAACTCCAGCAGTCCACAGCACGGTTATACCCGGCAGTTCCAATGGAAAGAAGAACCTCGGGAGCCAAGTAAGTGGGGGTACCACATAAAGTTCTCATGAGAGAGGTCTCCCCCAAAATCTTGGACTGCCCAAAATCAGTAATCTAAAATTAAGGACAAAAGGAATAATTTTTAACAATGTCCTAAAAATAAAAAGAGTATCATAGTCTGCTGGTCCCACATCAGCTACATCAGCTTTTATTGTGTGCTTCATACCTGTGGTTCATCTGAAGTCTGCAAACTCATGGCTTGCAAGTTCCAGTACTAAATTTTGCTTAAAATCCCTAACTTAAGAACTTCAAGAATTAGGTTTTCCATTTTACCTATGTTCTTTGTAACCTTATAGAAAATTTGTGATCCCTATGACAAACACCCAAGGATTCTAGTTAGTTACACAATTCTTCTTTAGACCCTAGGCTCTCAAATTTGATTAACTGTAGAATATCTGGGGAGGTTGAAAAAAATTCTTGCACCTGGGTGCCACCCTCAGATTCAGAGATGCAGCCTGGGTCTTTTGAGATATAGTTTATTTTCTTATTTATTTTTAAATTCTAACAGGAGATTCTAAAAGGAAGCTTAAAAAAGAGGTCCAGGCAGGATATGTAATTCATTCATCTGTTTAGACCCCTCTGCACAAAGGTGGATTGTATACAATGGAGCTGATAAATGCTCATTAGACTCCAGAGAGACAGGATATCACCTGATCTCTACAACAAATGCTGAGTGCAAAAACCAGATTCTCTCTTTTTTTTTTTTGCTCCCATTTTTCACACGAGGAATTAAAAGACAGTTTCTACCGAAAGGCTCACATACAGAACATAACTTTTACCTTTATAAGACAGTCCTCTTCTTGAGATGACAGTAGAACATTCTCTGGCTTTAAATCCCGATGTATAATGCCATTTTCGTGAAGGTACTACACAGAAAGGGAGGCATAGCCCTTAGATTTATATTTTCTAGGAAGTCCTTTTTTTTTTTTTAATGTGAAATCAATTTTGTTGGTCATTTAAAACCTGCCCACATTGACTTAAAAAGAAGATAGACTTCAGTGACTTATAAATGGAAATTCAAAAGTAGAGTGGGGTCAGCATTAGTCACAATTTAATCAAGGACCTGGTTCCTTTTCTCTATTTTCTGCTACATTATCGTGTGTGCGTGTGTGTGTGTGTGTGTGTGTGTGTGTGCGCGTGTAGATTTGTCTTAAGAATATTCTTACCTATGAAAGATGACTACCAGAAAAGAACACTTTCTATCTCATTTAGGAAGAGAAAGAATGGTATCCCATCTCTCTTTAAGGGACAATACAGAATTTTCCAGAAAACTCTAATTATTCTCTCCTCTGAAATGGGACCAAGCCTATCCTAGAAGAATTACTGAAAAAAAGGAATGATACTTCCCTCAGGAAATCAGACTCTATCTTTATCTTGAGGTCAACTGCAAAAACTACACTGCTCTTTTTTATGGTGGAGGGAGAATATTAGGAAGTTAATTACAGTATTCAGTAAACTCTCAGAATTCTCTAAAAAAACAAAAACAGCAACTGAGACAATAAAGCTTGCATTTCACAATTCAAGAAAACACATATCCTTTCACATTGGCAGAAATATAAGGTATTTAATTCAATAAAACTCAAAAGAGTGATATAAAATATTTTGAGAACATACCAAAATAAACATAAAAATTTCATCAAAATGATATATTTACATATATACTAAAAATGTCTCATAGCAATTGCTCCATATACTCAATCCATTGTAATATTCTTTTTTAAACAAATTTTTTGGTAGTTGTAGATGGACAGCATGCCTTTATTTTATTTGCTGATTTTTTTTTGTATGCGATGCTGAGGATCACAAGAGCTCTGCCACTGAGCCACAGCCGCAGCCCCTCACTGTAATATTCTTGATCATTAAATATAAGAAGGGGAAAAACCAATAAGGGAGATAAACACTAGATAGGTGACAGCCACCATTAAAAAGACTTTGAGGACTGGTGTGTAACTCAGGGGTAGAGCACTTGTTCCCAGAACAGAAAAACAAAACAAAAAAAGGGGGGTTGGGCAGAGAGGTGGGGGACTTATGCTCATGAACTTCAGCCTACTCTAGGCACTTTCAGTGGGAAATTAACCTGATGAAACCTTCAAAGCTAAACCCAGGTGGACCTACCCCAGAAAAATCTCCCTCAATCCTCACCCAATACAAGAACAGCTCCCAGCCAGACACAGTGGCACACACCTATAATCCCAGGGACTCAGGAGGCTGAGGCAGGACGATCAAAAGTTCAAAGCCAGCCTCAGCAAAAGCGAGGCCCTAAGCAACTCAGAGACCCTGTCTCTAAATAAAACATAAAAAGGGCTGGGGGGGCTGGGGTTGGGCGGCTCAGCAATAGAGCACCCGCATAGCACATGTGAGGCCCTGGGTTCGATCCTCAGCACCACATAAAAATAAATAAATAAAATAAAGGTAGTGTGTCCAACTGAAAAAAAGGGTTGGGGATGTGGCTCAGTGGTTAAGTGCCCCTGAGTTAAATTTCCAGTCCCCCTCCACCAAAAGAAATCTGCTCCCTCCACTGCATTTACTGCATGGAATAGGTTTTCAAGAAAAGAAATCTTGGTGGGGAATCACCATAACTGATTCTGCTTGGAAAATGGTGGTATTCCTCAAGGCAAAGTGCCACCAACAACTTCTCTATCAACACTTCCACTGAACAGAGAAGGCCAGGCACATGCCTCACCCCCTGTCCACTCCCATGACCAAGATGCTGCATCTGGAGGGAACTGAGTAAATGAGTCAGGAAGAGCACGCCGTCCCCCTAGTCCCAGCTTGCCCACCGTCCCCTCAACTCTGCCCAGTCCCAGTTTACAGGAGGTTTTCTACAAAGATAAGGTAGCCGTAGTTCTATGGTTTAGATATGAAGTGTTAGGTGTGAGACAACACAAAAAAAGTTCAAAGGTGAGAAGATTGGGTTATGAGAGCCTTAATCTAATAATCAACCATTAATCCACTGGTAGGGGTTAACTGGGCGGTTCCAGCAGGCAGACAGGGTGTGTGGCTAGAGCAGGTAAGTCGCTGCAGGCATGCCCTGGGTATGTGTTTTGTCCCCGGTGAGCACAGCTCTCTCTGCTTCCACGTCTTGAGCTGTTTGCCTCCTTCACACCTTTTCACCAAGATGGTTTGTGGTTGTTTTTTTTTTTTTTTAATATATATTTTTTAGTTGTTGATGGATCTTTATTTATTTACATGTGGTGCTGAGAATCGAACCCAGTGCCTCACACATACTAGGTAAGTGCTCTACCACTGGGCCTCGAACCCAGCCCTCGCCATGATGTTTTGCCTCACTGCAGGCCCAGAGTAATTGAGCCTGTGTTCTATGAACTTCAACCTCCAAAACTGTGAGTCCCAAATCAACTTTTCATCCTCTAAACTTGTTCTTGTCAGGTCTTTTAGTCACAGGGTAAAAAAAGCTGACTAAAACAGGTAGAAATCAATTTCCCTCCAGGAAGACCTCCAGGCTAAAGAGCGGAGACTTGGGGGGTGTTGGTTTTCTAGTTCCCTTCCTTACTGTCTCTTAACTTCACAGCAAAAGCTTTGTCATCTGAGTCAAAGGGGTAGGATGTTTTTTCCAAGAACAGAACAAACACAGGATCGCTTCAGAGTTTTAATTCTCAGTCCCTCAGTTTCTCCCTAACCCAGGTAGTAATTGCACCACACAGAAACTAGGTTGTCACAATAACTGAGGACTTTTCTCACCTGTACAGCCAAGAGCATCTGGTAAAAATAGAGTTTGCAGGTAGCTTCTTTCAGCCGTTTATTCCCCACCACCCTGTCAAAGAGCTCTCCTCCTTCCATCCTGAAACACAGACAAAGGAAGGTGTTCATTCCTAGAGGAAAACTCACTTGCATGGTATAAAAGACAGAGCAAACTCATTCAGACTAGCACAGAGTTGCCATTTTTATTCACCTTTGACTCACATTATTAGAGCTAATGAGCTAATAAGGTTCATCTACAGTCTGATGTCCCCACCAGAAATAAGGAATATGAGAGAAGGAACGTGCAGTGGGAATTGGTAATACTTGGGAAACTTTAAGATCTGATTCACTACCAAGGTGGGCCCAGGAGCCTGCACGTTTATCACGTACCCTGCGTGACTCGGAGGTGATGAGGAAGAGCAAGCCAGAACTTACGATCAAGTCAACTCGGGTCTAAACCCCAACTCCACTACTTCCTAGCTGTGGGACTTTGGGCTATTTAATCTCTCTAAGCTTAAAAAGTGGGAGTAACACCACCTGCTGTGATGGTTGGTATAAAATAATAGAAATGATTGACATAGGTAAGGCACCTGGCACAGGGCTCAGCAATATTATTTGAATTCTCTGATTCAGTTTCCTTTTCTTTAAAGTGGGTCTAAAAACAGAAACCCACCTGTGACATGTAAGTAACCTGTAAGATCATTATGAAGGACCAATGAGTCAGTCCACAGAAAGTGCTAACTTAGCTTGCAGGTAAGGGCTTAATAAATACCAGCTACTATACTGTACTATTATGACCATTATTCACTGTGTCAACCAGATCCAGTCAGATAACAATCTCCTATTTGGTAACAGCAAATATTCCCTGAGGAACCCTAGGACATTCATCTCCCCCAGGGTTATAGTCAGGATTGCTGTTTATTTTGTTTTATTTTTGCAGCCCTGGGCACTGAACCCAAGAGCACTCTACCACGAGCTACCACCCCGGTCGGTTTCATTTTTAATTTTGAGTCAGGGTCTTGCTAAGTTGCTCTTGCCACTCAATCTGCATAGCCTCCATTTTTCAGCCAAGAACAAAGCATTCCATGCCTGTCACAACAGCTGCTTCAAAAATGTGAATTTATGCAGGAATAGACATAAGACAGGCCTCTTCCAGGAATGACACAGGAAATTATTTTGGTTATACCAAAGAAGATAGGACATTCTAACCATGAAGTAAAGCAGCAAGACACTGAAAGATACTTGGGCACCACCATGCCACCAGATCCCATCATCTTAAGTAGAAAGGACCACCGAAAGCAGATATTTTTAAAGTAATAACATCAACACACGTGGAAGCTGGGCACAGTGGCACACACTTGTAATCCCAGCATCTCAGGAGGCTGAAGCAGGAGGATCACAAGTTGGAGGCCAGCCTCAGCAATTAGGCAAGGCCCTCAGCAACTCAGTGAGAACCTGTCTCAAAATGAAAAATAAAAATGGCTGGGGCTGGGCTCGGTAGTGCATCCCTATAATTCCAGCAGCTCAGGAGGCTAAGGCAGGAAGATCGTAAGCTCAAAGCCAGCCTTGGCAACAGCAAGGTGCTAAGCAACTCAGTGAGAACCTGTCTCTAAATAAAAGGGCCAGGGATGTGGCTCAGTGGTTGAGTGCCCCTGAGTTCAATCCCTGGTTCCCACCCTCCCCCCAAAAAAGAGGGGCTGGGAATGCAGCTCAATGCTCTGGGTTCAATCCACAGTACCAAAAAACAGGGACCCCATGTCAAGCGCCCACATGTGCCAGGTACTCTGCAAGGCTTTCCATCCCTCATAGCATATAAACTTCTCCAAGACTCTGTASTATTATCTGCATTTAACACTAAGAAGATGAAACTCAGAGGGATGAAAGAAACTCACCCATGGGTGGTCAACTAGTCACCTGCAGAGTAGTGTTTAAACCCAGGACTCAGATGCAAGGACTAGAATCCCCTGCTACCTGCCTGTGGAAATACTGCCCAACTTCTAGAATTAACACTACCTAGACGTGCAAACACACTGTGGATCCCACCACCACATACTTACAGGGAGGGCCCCAGCATGAACAAGGAAAGTCTACATTCAAGTCTATGTTGGCTTTTAAGCATTTAAATGAAAATGTCAAGTTTAAAACATGTACTACTTACAATTCCAAAACAATGTAATAATCTTCTGCATCAAAAAAGTTTTTAATCTTGATGATGCAAGGCTGAAAAAAAAAAAAAGAGAGAGAGAGGAAAGAATGAAAACAAGTGAGAAACTCCCAAGAAGGAAACCACAAAAGCCACAGAATTTGAGACATCTGACCAGGGAGTCGGGAAGCCCAGGCCCAGGCTTTGGGCCCGCTGACTCTGGTAGCTTTGAAGTCAGGGGTGGAGGTGTGGAATCTGACAGACTGACTCCTTCCTAAGAACTTTTAAGCACACTTGGAGGTAGGGGACAGAGACACAGTGGATGAGAGTTGTGACCTCTGACCACGGCAGAGAGCACAGAACACTGAGAGTAAGGGAGCAATATTGTACGTTTATAAAAGTCCATATTTAATATTATGACTTCATACTTAGCAGAGCTATTTTTTCACAGTACATAGCCAACTTCAGGTGGCTGTCAACACATGCCTGTATTCCCAGCTAATGGGGAGGTGGAGGTCGTAATCCTGAGCCAAGTTCGAAACAAACCAGTTCCCCACTCCTGGCCTATGATCACTGTACACTACTTGACTCTACATGAGCAATTTTATTACACAATAATGAAAATACTCAGGGCTGGGGTTGTGGCTCAGTGGTAGAGCACTTGCCTCACATGTGTGAAGCACTGGCTTCAATTCTCGGCACCACATAAACAAACCAATAAAATAAAGGTCTATCAACAACAACAACAAAAATTTTTCTAAATAAAACACTGACTACTACTTGTAAGAAAAGAAAGAACAGCTAAAATCTTCATATCCCATAACAGGAAGCCAACAGGCTATTTAAAGTGGATAAACCAAGAGACAATGGTTTATACATATTATGTAGAAACATGGAGGCAAATTCTAGCAAAAAGCCAAGAAAGAGTTTTTAAATATTTATAGAGAGGAGGATTAGGAGGAATGAGAAGTTGCTGTTTTGTGCAAAATCATTAATACTATTTGACTCTTTAGATTATGAACTTGTGATGTCTTGGCCAAATTATTTTTTAACGGAGAAGCAGAAGAAAACTCATAAATGGAGAAGATGACTAGATTAGAAGGGAAAATGGGAACTGCTTGGTTCCTCTTGGCATCAAAATGTGCAGTGCAGGGGGCTAGGGTTGTAGCTCAGTGGTGAAGTGCTTGCCTGGCACGTATGAGGCCCTGGGTTTAATCCTCAGCACCCCATAATCATGAATAAAAAAGTAAATAAAATAAAGGTATTGTGTCCATCTACAACTAAATAAATAAACAGCGGGCAGGAAATGCTCTGGGAAACTGCTAAGAAATAGATCAGGGACCTAATCATTTGGGAATGGATGGGGCCAAGAGCTGACTGAATGTAAAGAGGTCCCCAAAAATCAAAGCCATGAACTGTCTCTAGTCTTTCCTACTCAAGGTCACTGGCTAGGGCTATCACAGATAAAAGTGTCTCCCTAACAGGAACCAGAGACTATTAACCCAGACTTTCCACTTAGGTCACACAGGGAAAAGAGCTCAAGGAATCCAGCTCACGACCATGACCTCAGCCTGTTCTCTGTGCTGAAAGCTTTAGGAGCAGACCCACAGAAGTCTCACGCTGACCTTGTGAGGTAAGTATCCTTATTGTCTCCATTACACAGATGAGCAAACAGTGGCTCTGAAAAGTGGATGACCTGCTCAAAGCCAGGAGGCGGTACAAATGAGCTGGGAGCTCAGGTCTGTCTGCACACTAGACAGAAGACACGGGGGAAGGGGTGAACTGCTCCATCTTGGCTCAACACTGCCTGGGCCTAGAAGATAGTCTTGGCCCACTAACTGTTTGACAATTGACCAAATCGGTGTTGGACAACTAAGGCCAGGTTCTTGGGCTATGGAGACATTATCCCCAAACACCCAAATGTTAGCCATGGATCCATGTTAAATTCCCAAGGTTCCAAATGCTCCAGGAAACGGCTAAGAAATATGACAGGGACCTAACTAACTGTTAGTGTTCTAAACAGCACTGGACACTGGATTTGTATATATGTTAAGTGAGGATMATCTGACATCAGAGAAACTCCTCTGCGAACTCTTAGTGTTTATTTTAAGGGTATGTTTGATGCAGTCCTACCCCTAGAAAACTAGATGGCTCTGCTCTTCCCCCTACCGCCCCCCGCAGGACTGGGGATTGAACCTGTAGGTACCTTATCACTGAGCTACATCCCCCACCTTTTCTATTCTTGATTTGAGATAGGGTCTCACTGAGTTGCCACGGGTGGTCTTTTTTTTTTTTTTTTAACCTTTATTTGTTTATTTTTATGTGGTGCTGAGCAGCAAACCCAGTGCCTCACACATGCTAAGCAAGTGCTCTACCACTGAGCCACAACCCCAGTCCCCCAAGGGTGGTCTTGAACTTGCCATCCTACTGCCTCACCTCCCAAGTCACTGGAATTACAAGAGTCACTGAGACTTTAAACATACCCCACATGCCTTAAAGAGAGCTCTGCTCTTTAAAGAGGCTTCCAAGCTCTTGGAAAAAAGACCTGGCAAGCTGGGGCACAACACTTAGTCCCAGCTACTTAGGAGGYCAAGGCAGGAGGATCACTTGAGCCCAGGAGTCAAAGGCCAGGTTGGGCAATATAGAGAGACCCCATGCCCTCCACTCGCCACCAAAAGACAAAATTCAAAGAGTACATGGAAGAAGTTACAAAGAAATTATTAAAAGATGGGGCTGGGGGGGCTGGGGATGTGGCTCAAGCGGTAGCGTGCTCGCCTGGCATGCGTGCGGCCCGGGTTCGATCCTCAGCACCACATACCAACAAAGATGTTGTGTCCGCCGAGAACTAAGAAAAAATAAATAAATATTAAAAAATTCTCTCTCCTTCTCACTCTCTAAAAAAAAAAAAAAAAAAAAAGATGGGGCTGGGGTTAGTGGCTCAGTAGTAGAGCACTTGCTCAACACGTGTGCGGCACTGGGTTGGATCCTCAGCACCACATAAAAATAAGAAAGTAAAATAAAGGTATCATGTCCATCTGTAATAACAACAACAACAAAAAATCAAAAATGTTTTAAAAAAATATTAAAAGAAAGCCAAGCAGGAAGATCAGTCCCTCAGATTCCCACGGGTTACCAGCTCCTTGCACAGGATTCTCAAGGAGCCGTTGGAAGTATTTTGTCAAGGTAATGATTGTATTCTTGTTCCTGGTTTCTCCCTGTTCTTTGAGGAATTTGGGGAGGTATAAGAAAAGAAATTTTCTTGTTGTTTAGAGAATAAAAACCAGAATAAGATGATCATAGTCAAACAGTAGACAGACTACAGGATTTGTTTCAAGTGCAGGTACTACTGAGCTTATGACATGGCTGCTCATGAATTAATGAGGAAACTGAAAGAACCAATAAACAGAAAAGCAGGATCAGACCACATTCTAATTTTTCTTCTCACCTTTTTCAAGTGACACACCTTCTRCTGACACTGAGTCAAAGTCTTCATCGAGACAATGTCATCATTGTACAAAAGAGGGAACTATTTATACCCAAAGAGGCCACTGACACACCACTTTTATCAGATATAAGGATAGGATGTTGTCATTATTTGATTTATCTGGGTCACTCCAAATAAAATGTATTTTAAGGTGTTAAAACTTCAGGTATAACCAGGCACAGTGGCACACACCTATAATCCCAGCTACTCAGGAGGCTAAGGAAACAGGATCACAAGTTCAAGGCCAGCCTGGGAAACTTGGGAAGAGCTTCTCTCAAAATAAAGAATAAAAAGGGCTGAGGATTTGGCCGGGGATGTGGCTCAGTGGGCAGAGAGCTTGCCTAGCATGCAAGAGGCACTGAATTCGATCCCCGGCAGGCACCATATAAAAATAAACAAATAAAATAAAGATATTGTGTCCATCTACAACTAAACAAAAACAAAAACAAAGAAACAACAACAACAAAAAAAAACCGGCCAGGGATGGAGCTCAATGGCACAATGCTTGCCAAGCATGTGTAAAACTCTGGGTTCGGCTGGGCATGGTGGTGCACGCCTGTAATTCTGGCAGCTCCGGAACCTGAAGCAGGAGGATCGTGAGTTCACACCAGTCTCAGCAATGGTGAGGCGCTAAGCAACTCAGTGAGACCCTGTCTCTAAATAAAATACAAAATAGGGCTGGGGATGGGGCTCAGGGGTTGAGTGCTACTGGGTTCAATCCCCAGTAACCTAAAATAAATGAAATAAAATAAAGCCGTGGGTTCAATCCCCACTACCACCCAAATAAATAAATATTTTAAAAATTCAGGTATTATTAAATTTACTAAAATTAGCATTGTCTTTGCAAACATAATCAGTTGATCAATTCTCTATAAGATAGAATAATTTTATTTTATTTCTCTACAAGAATAACTCAGGGGGCTGGGGCTGTAGCTCAATGGTAAAGCTCCTGCTTTGCATGTGTGAGGGACTGGGTTCGATCCTCAGTACCACACAGAAATAAATAAGGATACTGTGTGTTCATCTACAACTAAAAAAATGGAAAAAAAAAAATAATAACTCAGGCTAGGCAGGGTGGCACACATATGCAGTTCAGCACTCATGAGGCTAAGGCAGAAGGAAGGTTTGAGCCCAGGAGTTCAAGAGACCAGTGTGGGCAACATAGCAAGAGCCCACCTTAACAAAAAAAGAAGAAGAAGAAGACCTCAGCAGAAATGTCATCAGGCAATTATTTAATCATAAAACCTTTATGCAATATTGCCCTCAAAATTTTGGAATTAAACTCCTCCAAGCTAAACGAGAGCTAGGTGTTTGAGTATCCATGCATGTGCACATAGAAATTAAAGAACCCAGGTCAACACTAACTGCATCACATTGAAATACTTTACATTCTTCCATATTTAGAGATAAATAAATTTAAATATGAGCCATGTCTTACAGCAATACTTACATGATTTAGTTTTTTCAAGATTTCTATTTCAGTTTCAACATTGAGAGCTGGATCCTTTAATAAACAGAAAAACATTAGAGTTTACTAATAATAACAATAATGGCCAATATTTTTAAAATGTTACAGTTATACTTAATTGACTGCCTGAGATCCAAACCAGGCTATATTTAATGCAAAGAAACCCAGACCCAAAATACAATGAATTAAATAACTCAGCTAAAATCATTCTGCAAAGTGCTTCGCAAATTATAAGCAGTCAATAAATGCCCAGGCCCTGTGCTAAGCTCTTTATTTATTCGAATCATCTCACATAGGCCTCATAATCCTCAACTGAAGAGGATTCTATAATTACCCCCATTTTACAAATGGAGCAACTAGGGTTCAGAAAAGGGAAGACATGGGCCGGGGCTGTAGCTCAGTGGTAGAGCACTTGCCTCGCATGTGTGAGGCAGTGGGTTCGATCCTCAGCACTACATAAAAATAAATAAATAAAGATATTGTGGGTAATGTCTTCCCTTTATTTTTTATTAAAAAAATAAAGGGAAGACATTACCCACAGTTCCACTGCCAGAGAAATGTGTTTCCATTGTTTGCATCTGTAACCAGTAGCCAGTAAGCTATACTTATCTCATTAACTATGGAGTTATTTACATTTATAAAAATGATGACAGAGGGGCTGGGGTTGTGGTTCAGCGATAGAGTGCTCGCCTAGCACATGCAAGACACTGGGTTCAATCCTCAGCACCACGCAAAAATAATAAAATAAAGGTAGTGTGTCCAACTACAACTAAAATATTTTTTAAAAATGATGGGGGCTGGGGCTGTGACTCAGCGGTAGTGCATATGCTTGGCACGTGTGAGCCACTGGGTTGGATTCTCAGCACCACGTATAAATAAATAAAATAAAGGTCTATCAACAACTACAAAAAAAATTAAAAAAAAAAAAAAGATAAAAGAGCTGGGTGTGGTGGCACACACCTGTAATCCTAGTGGCTCAGGAGGATCATGAGCACAAAGCCAGCCCCAGCAACTTAGTGAGCCTTAAGCAACCTAGTGAGACCCTGTCTCAAAATAAAAAGTAAAAATCGGGGCTGGGGATGTGACTCAGTAGTTAAGTGCCCCTGGGTTCAGCCCCTGATAAGAAAAAAAAAAAAAAGAAGAAAATAAAGAAAGAAAGAAATGAAGTCCATGAAGAAGCAGGTGTTTAATGAAACTGTATGAAAAAAATGTCAGGTAAAATTTCTGAGCAGACAAAAGTTCCAACTTCAACCGTAAGCTGACAATGTTCACTGGAGAGAAGCCAGACAGCCCCAGCTACTCAGGAAGCTAAGGCAGGAAGACTGCTGGAGCCCAGGAATTCAAGGCCAACCTGATCAACATGGTGAGACCTTGTCCCATCCCATCCCCCGCAAAATTAGAGAGCAAGTTGAGTTAAATAACTCCACTTCCCAGGTTACACCCTCCACAAGCAAAGAGGATATAAAGTGACATATTTATGTAGAATGGACTTCTGCTAAGAAACCCCAGATGTTTAATTTTTAAAGCCTGCCTCTTCCTGTAATCCATTACTCATTACCACACCAGGGTGTACATACTCTGAAAAGAGAGAGGTCACAAAGAGTCCAATTTGACTCAAAGAATGAAACTAAGAAGTAAAATTTTACTCTCAGTTCTAACAATCTGGTAGATATTTTCTTCTCCCCAAAATGGGAAGCAAATCGAGAATCACAAGGGAAAAGATCCATAACAAAGGGAACACAGAAAGGAAATTCCTCTTGCCATGCAAGAACAGCATTGTCTCGAGGGGAAGAAAAAGACCTTTAAAGAATGTTAAAATATAATACCCAGGGGCTGGGGATATAGCTCAGTTGGGTAAAGTCCTTGCCTCATATGTACAAGGCCCTAGGTTCAATCCCCAGCACTACAAATAATAATAATAAGACCACCCAGAAACAATTGGCCACAAAGAAAAATATTATTAGGGGCTCTTTTTCTATCACTTTGTCCAGTCACATGTGGACAGATCAATCAATGTATTTGGCTACTTCACCTCTATAGTGAATGTGGACTACAGAAAATGTAATAAAATGAATAGCTACTAGGCTGGGGCTGGGGCTCAGTGGTAGAGCACTTGCCCAGCATGTGTGAGGTACTGGGTTCAATCCTCAGCACCATATAAAAAAGTAAATAAATAAAATAAAGTTATTTTTTWAAAAATTTTAAATGAATAGCTACTATGGAGAAATAATTTCAATATTTTAAAATTTAAAAATATGAAACTCAAAGCTGGGATATAGCTTCAGAGATAGAGCACTTACCTAGCATGTGTGAGGCATTTGGTTCAATCCCCACCACATAAAAATAAATGAATTAAATAAAGGTATTGTGTTCATCTACAACTAAAATATATCTTTAAAAAAAAAGGAAAAAAAGGGCTGGGGATGTGGCTCAAGCGGTAGCGCGCTCGCCTGGCATGCGTACGGCCCGGGTTCGATCCTCAGCACCACATACCAACAAAGATGTTGTGTCTGCCAAGAACTAGAAAATAAATATTTTTTTAAAAATTCTTTCTCTCTCTCTCTCTCTCTCTCTTAAAAAAAAAAAAAAAAAAAAAAAAAAAAAAAAAAAAAAAAAAAAAAAAAAAAAAAAAAAAAAAAAAAAACTTAAAAAAAAGGAAAAATAAATTTAAAACTAACCCATAAATAACAAAGATACTCACTGGCACATCACCCAAAAGAGCAAACAACTAGGAATTACCTAAATGACCAACCAGAGAAACGGCTGGGTAAATCATCATAAGTTGGGACAGCTCCTTCTTTGTGGATGACTTTGACAAAGTCTACAAATCTGTCCCCAGGATCATCCAGAGCACCTTACAGAGTTCTCCTCACAGTGTCCCAACTTCAAGTTAAAGGAGGCAAAGCACATCTGCACATCCCTTGCTGCTCTTCTGCTGACTCTGGACAACCCCAGTACCTTCTGGGTCACACGAGGTGGGAAAGGCGTGGGTAAAATACCAGCCTTGGGTAAACACGTGCACTGCTACTGCTCTTTGCCTCTTGGTTTTTTCTACTTCAAAACTTGGAGTCAGAAAGAAGATCACCAATTTGTAGAATGAGCCACAATGATACATTATTTTGAGGTTGCTGGGGATTTTACATTTTTGATTTCTGTTGTCAAAATCAGTGGTCAGAATGGAGTGCAGCACTCATGACAGGYTCACACTGAGGTTTTCTGAGATTTTATTTTAATTTCCCATTAGAACCCTATAACCCTCAACAAGTTTCATTTGTGCTATGAACATAAGAGTTGCTTAATTAGGGCTGGGATTGTAGCGCAGTGGTAGAGTGCTTGCCTTGCACACACAAGGCCCTGGGTTYGATCCTCASCACCTCATAACATAAATAAATAAAAATAAAGATATTGTGTCCATCTACAACTAAAAACAAATATTAAAAAAAAGAAGAGTAGCTTAATTAACCCTTTGAAAGGACTGCACGCCAAAAGTAAAAATAAGGATAGAAGTTGATGAAATGAGCCAGGAACAATTGCACATGCCTATAATCCCAGCAACCTGGGAGGCTAAGACAGGAGGATTACAAGTGCAAAGACAGCCTCAGCAAGGACGAGGCTCTGAGCAATTCAGTGACCCTGTCTCTAAATAAAATTCAAAATAGGGCTAGGGATGTGGCTCAGTGGTCGAGTGCCCCTGAGTTGAATCCCTGGCACCAAAAAAAAAAAAAGAAAGAAAGTTGATGAAATGAAGAGTCAGTTATCACAAGGGATGAATGTGCTAAGGGAAAATTCTATGCTATCCTACATCCTGCATTCATGGAAAAGCAGAATACCCAACTGTATACAACACAATTGAAACCACTGAGAAACATGAATTCATATAAGCCAAGAAAGAAGAGAAAGGAAAACTGAAAACAGCTATAAGACTATAACAGTCACTCTCTAATTTCAAATCTGGTAAAAACAATCTTGCAACAACTTTGAACTGGAATAAACAATCAAAAATTATTGGAACAAAATTATCTATAAGTAACAATTTCTAGATTAATCAAAAGATACTTAAATTTTTCAATGTTCTTTGACAGTCACAAATTASTGTCTGAGCAGTCAGTTGTTCCTGAGACTGAAAACAGTCATCTCACAACGATTTGGGGGATGTTATGAAGAAGCTATAAAGGGGGCTGGAGATGTGGCTCAAGCGGTAGCGCGCTCGCCTTGCATGCGTGCGACCCGGGTTCGATCCTCAGCACCACATACCAACAAAGATGTTGTGTCCGCCGAGAACTAAAAAATAAA